TTGCAGATATGATCACATTAAGATGAGGTCATATGCCTCAGGGTGGGCCCTAATCCAGTGACTGGTGCCCTTATAGGAAGAGAGGCATTTAGACACAGAGACACAGACACACAGAGAGAATGCCATGTGATGACGGAGGTGGAGATTGGGCTTGATGTGTGCACAAGGCAAGGGACACCGAGGATTGCCAGCCACCAGCACAAGCTAGGAGGAGGCAAGGAAAGACTCTCCCCTAAGCCTTGAGAGAGAGCGTGGCCCTGCCGACACCTTGTTGGACTCCTAGCCTCCAGAACTGTGGGAGAAAGAATTTCTATTTGAAAGCCACCAAGTTTATGGTAATTTGTTACAGCAGCCCTGGGAAACTAATGCAGATGCAAAGCCCCATCTTAGCTGTTTCTTGGTTCTGTGACGTTGGGCACATTTTTTAAATTCTCTGGAGCTCCATAAATCAGAGAAAGTAGGGATTAAGTCAGTTAATACACGTGAAGTTGTTCGTACAGTGCCTGATGCGTAGATCGCACTCAGTGACTAGTTTAGTTACTAAATACTAGTTTAGTCGCTATCACCTTAGTCCTCTCTGTGGCTGGTCCGTCTTAACTCAGATTTTACTGCCTCTGGAGACCTTTCCTTGACCCCCCTAAAAGCTGCCTCCTAGTCCCTAGCTCATTATTCTGTATATTATCCACATAGCATTTGCCCCAAATTCTATTTGTTTACTTGGAAAAACAACCAGCTTGTCATTAGAATGTGATTCTGAGGGCAAGGACCTTTTCTTGTCCTCTCAATAAATATTTGGCAACTGACTGGCTGACTGACGACCACATACAACCAGATGCAAAGGGCGTTTAAATTGACGGGAGAAGGAATGAGGTGGTTCCAATGATCTTTAAGTTTCCCAGAGGAAGTAACACTCACATCTGTAAAAATTTTCCAGAAATTCTTCTGTGATTTTATTTCATGACAGCAAGGAGGTTCCCACATCTAACCTCAGTCTACCTTCTCTTGCCAACCAGGTGTAGGATAAAATCTGTGGGGTCACTGTTGTCACCTTAAATACACGTCACAGATGTACACCTTTAAAAAGTGTAGTTCTGGCAACCTTTATGGCTCAGGCCTATCAGTTCCTCAGGAGATCTTGTTATCAGCTATGGGGGCCCAGAACCACTCTTCAGCCCCAAAATGGGAGGCGAGGCTTTTCAGTGTTGGAATCGTTTGCTGTTAAACTCTGCCCTCTAGTGGTAATTGCATGTCACAACAGCACAGCATTTGGCTACATTTTGCTTTCTAAATATTCTGGGAGATTTTAATATTAAATGTAATAGTGTGCAGTAACATATTTACAACTTAAGAACTAAGAGCTGTGTTTAAAGTACATAAAAAAGCAAATAGTTCTCATTGGCTTCCTGTAAGTCATTAAAATTGTCAGGATATTTTATTAGAATTAATTGTCTAACATTCTTGGACAAAAAGCTGTAAGATGCTGCCATACTGTATGTAGATTTTGAGATGGGGGGTTGGCATTGTTCTGAAGTTTTACCTGTGGTCACTATGAAGTTTTCTTGGAAAAAATTATATTCAAATTGTGATTTGACAGCTGAAAAAAACGGTAGCTTGGCAGGAAGGAAGCTAGTATTAGGTGAGGCAGAAGACTGATACCCAGAGTTTTAGAGATTGGCGGGGAGCCCCCAGGCCTGTGCGACTGTGTGCCCAGGCTGACAGGAGCAGGAGTCTCAGGAAGGGGGGCTACTCTCGTATTTCTTGCCTGTGAAGAGAGTGAGGAAATTTCAAGTGTTCTTGGGAAATTCCGAGATGCTCAAACTGTTACAAGAGCAAGAAGGCTGAATTTGGGAACAGTTTGATTGATTGATTGACTGCCAAAAATAGCATATAACTACATCTTGCTTTGCAACTTGCTTTTTTCATTGGACGTCGTTCCACGTTAAATATGTGGGTCCACCTCCTTCTTTTGGATGGCTATCTGGTATTCCAATATATGAAATACAGTTATATTTAACCAATTCCCTCCTGACATCTGGGTTCTTTTTAATGTTTGCCTGGTAAAAAGGTTTGCAGTTATTTAACAAATATACTCATATTTGTTACATATGTCATAGTCATTTAACAAATATTTATTGAGTATATGCCATTTGCTGGTCACCGTTCTCAGGGCTGAGGATACAGCAGTGAACAAAACAATGTCCCTGCCCCTCTGGAGTTTGTATTCCGGGGTGGAGGAGGGAGAAGACAGCCAAGTAAACCCTGCTGAGCAGTGATGAGTGCTAAGCAGGAAAGATTCATCAGGGACAGGAACTATGAAATGCTGGGGTGAGAGGCCTTAGATTTTAAGTGGGGTGGGCAGGGAAGGCCTCACGCGGAAGGTGGCTTTTGAGTGCAGCGGCAAGTCCAGTGTGATGTTTAAGGAAGAGGACACATAGTAAGGGCAGGGCTGGGAGGCTGGGGCTCATCTCTTTCGCTGAGGGTCAGCCGTGAGGCCGGAGGGCTGGCGGGGGCGAACTTGAGCGCGAGTGGTGGAAGCTGATGTGAGAACGATGAAGGGGGGACAAGGCAGATTGCCTGAGGCGTGTATGTCCGAGTAAGGATGGTAACTTTTAGGAGTGAGGGGGGAGCCATCTTGGGATCACTTTCGCTTCTGTGTTGCCAGCAGGCTGCAGGGGGCAGGGCAGGGGAGGGGAGACCAATTGGGAGGCCATTGTGACTGTGGAGATGAGAGAGGATAGTTTGGGGCTGTGATAGCAGAGGAAATGGTGAAGAAGGGGCACTCCGGATATGTACTGTGAAGGCAGGGTCATCAGGATTTCCTGATGGATTGGATGTGGGGTGAGAGAAAAGAGAGTGAAGCACGGGGCCAGAAAGATGGCATTGCGCGCAACTGAGATGGCTCACTGTGCATTTGTGCGAGAATTTCTGTAAGATCAAAACCTATGAGCAGAACGATTGAATGTTGGGTAATAGGTCAAAATAAACTTCCTGGCAACTAAGGAGTTTTTGTTTTGTTTTGTTTTTCACATTTGTCTCAGTTTCCAAATTTTCTCTAATAAGCATTAGTGCTTTTATGATAGTTACTTATAAAAATAAAAACACCCCTTTATTTGTATGCCTTAATCTACTCCATAGATATGATGCTGAAAACTTACGGCTCAATCAAGATTATGTAAAACAAGTAGCCCAGATGCATTAGAGCAGAAGTTCTCAAATTCTTTGGTCTCAAGACCCCTTTTCACTCTTAAAACTTATTGAGGACCGCAAAGAGCTTTTGTTATGTGAGTTTTAACTATTGGTTTATTGTATTAGAAATTAAAATATAGGAATTTTTAAAGGTTTATTTAATTCATTAAAAATAATAATAAACCCATTATGTGAATATAAATAACATTTTTATGAAAAATAATTTCCCAAAACAAAATTGAGTGAGAAGAATGGTATTGTTTTCCCTTTTTGCAAATCTCTTTAGTGTCTGGTCTAATAGAACACAGCTTAATTCTCTTATCTGCTTCAGCCTCCAGTCTCTTGTTACATTGTTTTGGTTGAAGTCTGCAGAAAATCTGGCCTTGCACAGCTATGTATTCAAGAAGGGAAGAGGATTTTTTTTATTGAGGTGTAACTGACATAAGATATAGTAGTTTCAGGTGTACAATATAATCATTTGTTGTCTGTATATATTTCAAAATAATCACCACAATAAGTCCAGTTAGCATCCGTCACCATAGTTACGAAAAAATGTTTTTCTTGTGATAAGAACTTTCAAGATCCACGCTCTTACAGCCACTTCCAAAAATGCAATGCAGTGTTATTAAAAATAGTCACCGTGCTGTACATTCCATCCCCATGACTTACTCATTTTGTAACCGGAAATTTGTACCTTTTGACCCCCTTCACCCATTTTGCCCACCCCCCACCCCCCAGGAGGAGCATTCTAACAGCCTTTTCAGATAATTGGAGATATTCTTTGATATTATACTAAAACTTGAAAAGCTGTAGTTCCATAAAAGTTCGTTGAAATGTGGAATCTGAAACCATATTAATAATTTTTTTTTTTTACTCTCTTTCCTTAAAAATCCAGTGGTCTACCTGGCAGTCTGAATGGATCTTTCACCCGTGTGTGATTTTATACCATCATGCATTGGTCACTTGGAAAATCCTGGTTTACTGAGTTACACACATCTTGCAGATGTTAACATATTTCACTGTATACAATGTCAAAAACTCACATTTGTTAATATCACCACTCAGAAAAATCACTCAAGTATTGGGAAGTTGTCAGACTCATGGTGGTGAATACAAGTTTCCCAAAATTCTGATTTTCAGTTGAAAGCTCAAGTTTTCATTGGCAACAAAAACTGTCCGTTGTTTTCCTGGAAGTGACACTTCAAGGAAAGTGTCTTTCATTTTGCTCATTTTTTAGGAAATATCTGCCAAATAAATACCCATGTCTGAATAACCACAGTTTGTCAGACATTCTTTGAAATGAAAATGGGGTTCCATGAAAAGCTGCTAGTTCAGCTCACAATTTAATCGCACGGTTGCTTTCCCTGGAGACAGCCATTGTGCTCGGGTATGAGGAGAGGTGTCGTATGTGCTTCCTGTCTCATCGCTCAGAATATTAAAGAGACCTGGACTCAAGGGCTGAGATGTAGTGCTGTGAGTAATTCTTACAGCCTCATCAAGGATTTCTTAAGTGGAACTATTTTTTAAAGAAACATTCTTTTTATTTTTGAGAAAGATCAGCCCTGAGCTAACATCTGCTGCCAATCCTCCTCTTTTTGCTGAGGTGGACTGGCCCTGAGCTAACATCCATGCCCATCTTCCTCTACTTTCTATGTAGGATGCCTACCACAGCATGGCTTGACGAGCGGTGCCATATCTGAACCCAGGATCCAAACCGGCAAACCCCAGGCCCCGAAGCAGAACATGCGAAGTTAACCACTGTGCCACCGGGCTGGCCTCTAAAGAAATATTTTAAAAATATTTTTTAAAATATTTAACATATAATTAAAAAAATATGGTGGTCAAGAAATGGGATGACCGGTTATCCAGTTTGGTGCCTCTCCATTGCTTTGTGCTAAGGTCCCAACAGCTTTACCCCTCCTTGCTTTTGCCCTATCAGCGCAAATGTCAACCCAGTGAAAAGGCAAAAATGTGTCAGTATTACTATGAAGATAGTTTTGACCTCACAGACTCCCTGAAAGGACACCATGGGCCCGCAGACAATGCTCAGCGCTGCCATCTCAGAGGGTCTCCTGCTTCTCAAGAGCTGTTAGAAGCTGCAGAAATGCCTAGAACACAATCACCTCCTGTTCATCTAAATCCATATTTCGTTCTCTAGCTGTTTTTTTTTTAACTCAGCTTGCTCAACAATAACACTTACATTTAAAGATATTGATTATTAATAGAAAAGAGACATTATATTTTCATTTAAAAATAAGAAAAATTGAGACTCAATCCCTTAAAAATAGGGTTCTCAGTTGTAGGCCTGTTCTTTACAATTGAATGCATTGTGAAGCCTCAATAAACACTAGCTCTACTTCATATGATTGAATCGTTGCTCATTATGTACTGTAAAGAGCCGGCCAGAAGCAGTTGCTGTTCTGCCATAATTGCTTTATGGTAAAACTGTGAAAACCCAAAGCTTGATGAGGCCAAGGTCTGGTTTATGGCAAAGATGCCTGACTTGGATGTGAAAGTGCAGCCAAGGGATAAATTTACTTGGGACAGGCTGAAAATGAACATTTTCCTGGTCCTTAAGCTTTTATTAATTGCCACTGAATTTGCCTGTTCTGCTCCTGGCGTGGATTAGCTGGCTGAGCTCCATCCGTCCTTTATGTCAATGAAGATAAGGATGTGTCAGACCCTGGGAACTAGAACATGCTGTTTGGCCCTTCAAGGCAATTTCCTTTCGAGTCCCAGCTCTCTCCAGATGGCATCTAATTGTTTGTTGAATGACCTCAGTGTCCAGGGCACAGGAACCTGGTCTGAGAGGCCATTTCACATATTTATTAGCCTGTAGAGGAGAACTTACTACATAAAGCCCCCATTCACACTCTCAAAAGAGCTTTTTGTACAGAAGAAATGATGAAACTGATGGGCTGTTTCCTGTGACCACCAGTCTCCAATTGGATTCTTAGTTTGCCCAGGCCCAGGTGGGTGTTTTTTGAAGGGGTCTCTGTGGTCCAGCTGCATCCATTATGGCCCAGTCTCTTCCCCTCTCTCTTCTCATGGTCTTTACTGGAAAGAGCCTAGGCAGAATAGGGCCGCATCCTCCTATCTCCTGGTTTGTAGAGCATTTCAGGATTGCTCACTCAGAGCACAGGTGGTGTGAGTAGGGAATTGCTGTGTTCTGGGACCCTCTTTCCTTTTGGGAACCCAGGTAGTTCACAGTTTGAGAGGGTGAGGTGCTTCTGAGGACCAAAGTAGGAACCAGCCCCAATCCAGCCACAGGGATGGCAAGGCTGGTTCACCCAGTAAGGACCATAACCCTCATGTGGCAAGTCATGTCTTATGCCTCTGTGATTCTCTTAACTGTTTGAGGAGGGGCTCCCTATCTTTTTGTAACTACAATGAATCAGAACCCTGTGTCTGGAAACATGCATGCGCACTATTGTACGTCTTCCTTCCAAGGTGTTTGTGGACCCAGACTGAGGATCCCTATGCTATCTCCAAATGTGCACTGGCCCCTATCCAGTTCAAGCATTGCACTGGGCACTGGAGTGATGACGATAAATAAGACCTGGGTCCTGAGGCCAACAAACAAGAACACAGATCACTTTAATGAGAGCTTCAATAGCCAGATGCTGGAAGACGGTTGGGGCTAGGGCTCCTCACTGGGGTAAATAGAGGGTGGAGGAAGCCCCCATAGGGCCACACAGACTGAGAACCCAGGCTCCGAGTCTCCTTCCAGGTCATGTCCACCTAACGGATCATACCTGGGAAAGTCCCTCTGGCCCTAGTAACGGAATGTCTCAGCCGGTACCTCTGATCCAGGTCCTCTGTCTTTCCACAAAACACAAGTCTTTGGAAACGTCCTCCAGGAAGTTAAGATGGTGCTGTTGCCTGTATAGGCGGGGTTGAGTGAGCCGTTTGTTAGTGGTTTCCCTTAGCCTGGGAGGGGTGCTGGGTGTGGGAGTAAAACTCACACCTACGTTCAGTGGCACAGAACATTCCCACTCCATGAATCCCTCTTCCTTTCTCTACAGGCAAATTCATGTCTGCTTTATCCTTGAAAGTTCAAGACAACTCAGTTCTTTAATGGAATGTCCTTGGAGTAGGTTGTGAAGCACCATTAATTTCCACCCATCACTGAAACATGAGTGCACAATGCTGTTATTAACAAGTATATATTATACGTGTTTTCATGTAACATGAGTTTATGTTGGCTCCTTTGTGGCCTTTCTCAGATGCAGAGATCACATCTTATACACAGTATAAGAACTCTAGTAGAGCCCAGCAGTGTGTGTTATATCTTGGTTTCAGGTTTGCTTGATCTCGCACTGATAGGGTGAAGCTGTAAACTCTCACACTGATGATATGAGCTAGAATATTTACCACTGGGAAGGGCAGGGTTGGAGTGGCTGAGTCGATGACTGTTCTGGGGAAGGGAGACATCCTCAGACTCTTAGCCTCTTGCAGCTTCTTCTCTTAGCACTTTGGTCACATTCTCTCAGATCAGCTTCTCCATGTAGTGGGGGGGCACATGACTGTAGGCTGTTCTGGGCTTATAAGCTTAAAGTTTATGGTCCAAGGGGAAAAAGGGACTTCTCCTTCTGCTCTGGTTTGAAAAATCCCAGGGAAGGACTCTGATTGGTCTAACTTAGGTCACATGTCCACTCCTGGAGTATCCAGTGTTCACTATTCTGATTGGCTCGTATATCCATCACAAGTACGAATACACATGCCATGGGGCAAAGCTTTTAAATGTAATAACCACTATCTGCTGTTCACACCATTTTCCCCCTGAATTTTCAGAATCGGAGGTATATTCAGCTATATTTCTAATTGTCTCTGTCTACTCAGGGTACATATGTAAAATCTTGGCATATGAAAGCTAAGTTTTACGGGGATATTTCCTTTTTGATCTTTTCAAGTCCTACACTCATCTTTCTCTAGTTTCTCTTCCTCCTCACTTATTTATGTGCTGGATACCCACTGCCTCCTAGTGTAATTGTCAGATCCACCACTGTTACAGAGAAGTTATAGGTGGGGGTGGGCAGAGGGGCTGTGAATTCCCCTGGTATTTATAGTTTGGCCGTGGAAAAATTCCCACATCTGTTGTCACAATTCACCCACCCCTGAGGCTGGTGTGGTGTTCCAGGCAGCGATCCAGGTGGGTTCCCGCTGCTCCGCCTTGTAACTCTCCCTTCCTCCACCCGGCCTTTCCACTCTATTGGGTTCACACTGCAAGGCCAGGGATTGTACTGTCCTTTGAACCACTGACAAAAGGAACCCATTGTCTCCACCCTGGGCACCAGGAGGGGCAAGTGTTGACCTAGATGTCACTTCTGTAGGTGGCATTGTGCTTCACAGCTGCCTGCCTTAGCAAGTGAAGAAACTGGCTGGCAGTCAATATGGTCCTTCCCATTCAACAAACCCTGAGACAGCCTTTTCCTACAGAGAAATGAGCCCAGTTCATATCTCCCTATACGACAAAGGGGGTCCCTTAGCCCTCCAGTCGTCAGCTGCGTGGTGGGACTTGGCTGCCTCCTGGCTCTTCTCAGGTTCTGGCCTCAGCATCTGTGTGCCCTTTCCCATCAGTAAGGAGTGGACTAGGGTCTCTGATGGGGGATAGTTCAGATAAGACCCGCAGTCTATGTTGCCAAGAACATCCGTCCCTCCGTGGGAGCGAGGTGGTGGTTGCAGCAGCCACGATTCTGCCTTTTGGATTTGTACAAGATAAGGTGCTCCAGGCAACCAGCTGGTATCTGTGCTTCCATTATCACATCCGATAGAGCTGGCCATTCTGATTCATGGGGCTTTAATTATTAACTCTAAGAACTGTTTGATTTAACATGCGAGGTAGAGATAATAATACGTGTCTCCTAGTGTGGGTATTAAGTGAGACAATATGGTAAAAGTTCTCTGTATAAATAAATGCTGGCTCTTGGGGACCTTCCACACTGGGTGGGTGAGGGCTCCTTCGAGGAACCCCACCCGAGACATGGAAAGATGTCTGTGACTGCCTCGCTCTTCTGAGAACACATCCCTGTGGGCAGGGCGGGCTGCTGAGAGTCAAACTTACAGCTATTCTGCAGTTAGTGCTAATGTTGAGTACTGTATGCAAACAAGGCCCTTCCCCAGCTGCGTGAAGGGGGTTCGGCTCCTCTCACAGGTGTTTAAAGCCTCCGCAGCAGCAGAAAGGAAAAGTGACCCTGCTGGCCTCAGGGCTCTCTACCTCCTCCTGCACCTCCACAGCCCTGCTGAGGACGACTGTGTCCTGGGTAGCAGGGGCTTTATCTGTCCTTGCTCTTGTCCAGGATGACCAGGGTACTCTCCTCACTTCTTTCTCCAGTAGAAAGAAGATCAGAAAGCTACATCTGTAAGAGCCACTGACAGTCTTTCTGGATCAGTGGGGATTTTTAGGTCTCATGACTCTTTGACTGCTCACCTCAATGAACAAATACTTGTAAACGTTTGTATACAGTTTCCAGTGGCTCACAGAAGCCCCACCCGGCCCTCAGGTTAAGAACTCCTGGTCTGGACTGACTCTCCCAGCTCTTTGGGCAGAATGCAGAATTATCCACTATGCCACTCAGAAGATGATACCCATGATCAGCTTATGACCATGAAAAAAGTTATATTTTCCCACTGAAACATTTTGTTCAGGTGGCTGGAATTTGCTTGAGAACAGAGCAGAAGGGATTCCTAAGATCCTTTTCTGTTTTACTTAGGGCACTTTCAAGGCTGGAATGAGTGGAGGGTGGTCCTGACTCCACCTCACCTGGTGCCGCCCTGCTTTCCACCCCCGGGTGCCTTCTTGGGCAGTCCTCACAGGCTGCTTCCTCCTCTCAGACGTTTGGCAGCCTTTCTAGGTGGGAGATGGACGTGGGGTGGCGATGGAAGAATGCACTGTGACTCTGGCAATTCCTGCCATTAGGGAGTAGAAAGGAGGAGGTGCAGGCAGAGGGCAGAATCTGGGGGACACAGAGGTCTAGAGAGGGAGCTGGACAGAGCAGGCACAGCGTCCAAGGGGCTATCCCAGGCATGGTTCTAACTCTAGAAGTGGTTAGTATCAGTGTAGCCGGTAACATGGGCTGGTGGAGTATGAAGGAGCCAGACACATGGGAGGTGGGCCTCTGGGGAATCTAGACACACGCTACATCTAGGCCAGGGCGAGGACCTGGAGGGCTAGGCAAGGGGCAGGGGACGAGGTTGGAGGAGCATCAGGCAGGACATAGGCTGAAGCCCAGCTCTGCAGCCGAGTTGATGCGGGGACGATGGCAGAGGAGGGAGCCCAGCAGATCCCCGGTCAGACCGACTGGGACAGGGGTGGGACGCACAGAGCTGTAGGTGCACCCAGGAGTCCACCTGGGTGACAGCCAAGTGGACAGATGCTGTGGACACACGTGCTGCCTGTTAAAACAAAGTCCCCAGATGACAAAGACTCTGGAGAAGAAAATCATCCGAGACATCCGAAGAGGTGTGATTAAGACCATATGTGCAATTTTAATCTGCGATCTTAAAATGTAAAGGCTGAAAAATATTTTAAGGCTTTTTTTAGTCTGAAAACTCTTCGACTCTTCCTCATTGTCCCTTGGCTTTCAAGGTTCAAGAGTCACCTCAGTACCAGCTGGGGCCGGTCAGCGGTTGGCAGCTCAGGGCAGGGCTGGCCACACTCTTCTTTTTAGGTGTAGTTTCTGAGGCCTGACGTTTGCATGAGATTTAGGGTGCAGGTGGGCATGTGCCTGCAGCAGGAACAAATGGGGGAGATGGAGCTTGTTGTGCCTTCCTTTGAAGGGGAAGGGAAGCTCACATTTGCCTACTATGTGTTGGGTGCCAGGGTGTTATCTGTGTTATATGTGTTATCTCACTTGATCTACACAAAAACCTGGTAAGTTGGAGAAGGAAAACTGAGGCTCAGAGAGGTTAAGAAATTTCCAAAGGTCACCCAACTAGCTAGTGGTATGGTGAAGCAGGAACCCACACTGGCTCTCCCTCTACCCTCCTACCTTCCAGCATCACTTTTGAGACGTGCAAATATGTGTCTCAGTTTTAGAAGATGTCGTTTTGCAGCAGTATTTGTGAGACCAGAAAGCTGTTGGCAGCAGAGATGGAAGACAGTGTGGCTGGCCCTGGCTGGTGAGCCTTCATGGCATCCTGGCCTTGCACATGCCCCTCAGCCTGTTTCTACAGCACTCTGCAAGGGGAGGCCTCTGAGGGGCTTTTGTGGTCACTGTCTGTCAGTTGCTTGTGTAGCTCACACTTACCAGAAGTGGCAGGAAGGGAAAGAGAAAAATGTCCAGCAAAGAAAACCTAGCAACTACGGTGACAAGAGAAACAAATGCTCTGGCTGTGGTGCCTGCACAGTGAGTGTAGAATGGAAGGAAGCTTGGGAGGCAGGTGGCGGATCACCTTGGGTGGGTAAGACTCCCAGGGGTCTGGGGACACAGGAATCCTCTGAAATTATATGTAAAATGTTTCAATATGTGCCTTTTGTTCTGGGAGGAAAGTCCATGGTTTTTATAGACTCTCAAAGAAGGCTGAGACTGCCAGAAAGTCTGAGTCTGCTGTTTGAGAGGTTGGAATTATGCCCCTTGCGTGTTCTTTTAATCTTGCCTTAATGCTGAAAACAGAAAACTGAGCTTGTATAATATAGGATTCCTGGGGGGAAATGGGGAAATTGCTGGTGGTAGCAGAGGGGTGTATGGGATGGAATTGTTTGTCATAGTGCAAGAAAGCAAGTCAGGGCTGGAGGCTCCCCTGATTTTGCTTCATGTTATCAGTTATACAATTTTAATAGCCAGTTAAAGAAACAGAAATCTTGGGGGGCACATAAGGCCCAGTAGAGAGAAATCTGTTTGTGAATGCCATCCTTAGTCTCTTTGTTTATGTGCGCAGCAGATCAATACGGCTTTCGGACAGAGACCACTTAACAGCCATACTCTTTCCTCCCCTGAGGGATGGGGGAAGCGTCAGATGGAGATGTGGACAGCAGACACTCGTAAATGCACCCTCTGTGTTCACCAGCACAAGCAAATGTCTTATCCACAGCAACACCCAACGTGGCCCAGCGAGCTCGGCCAGCGTTCCCCACCCTCCTCCAGCCGAGTCCAGTTTGCATTCCCTTTTGGACCAAGAAATAGATGGCATTTGCATATAGGAAAATATGTTGAACTATCTTTGGTGGCTTGTGTAGCTGGCCGAGTCCAATGTGAGGAGGAGGTGACCTCTTCCCCAAGGACCTCTCTTCGTCCTCAGTGGTTTCCAGCCCCTCTGCCCGAGCCCTGGTGCTTTTGTGTGAGGGTGTGTGCTCTGAGATACACGAGCTCCCCCTCCCGCCCCACCTCCTGGTTTACTGTGTTCAGAATCACGCAGACAGGCCAGGAAGCTTCGGGAAGCAGGGTTGCTGATAAAGGTGCCCCTTTTCCACCCAGGGCTTCCCAGGCATGTGCTGCGATGCTCTTCAAGGAGCTGCACCTGCCGAGGGTGGCCTCAGGTGTTTAGGATTGGGGCTGTCCAGGTTAATCGTCATCCCTGCCTCCTGGGACACGAGGAGGAACAGAAGCTGTCTTTGTTCATGGAGACCCGGATCACTGGGTTTTAGTGGAGGCAAAAAGCCAGGAAGGATGGATCTTTCTGGAAAGGTGAAGAGTCTCAGGTTGCCATGAGAGGTTGAGTTGTTTTGACCATAGTGACTGGCGTTCACTCCCTGACTGATGTCCCTGTGTGTTCCCTGTGGGCAGGGAGGAGCCAGGCCTTGCAGCCTTGAACCAGTGCTCCTCGGTCACAGCCTGCCACCCGTGGGCAGTGTCACTCTCCACAGGGCTGCTTGACAATGACCAAGAACACCTCAGTACATGTGAGGCTTGATGCCTTGATTCTGGGGAGCAGTACGGGGGGTACGGGCAGCATTGTTTTCCAAGTTGCCCTGAAACAGGAACAGCAGGTACATGGTAGGCACATCTTTCTCCCCACAGACCTCTCCCCGACGCCGTGTCAGAGATACGGTCTACCTCATTGGGAGCCTGATCTTCTACTGGGGACTGGCGCTTTGGGAAAGGGATTTCGTGCATGCGCTCAGCCCGAGCACTGCTGCAGACAGGACACGTGTCTGTGGACTATGGCTGGCAGGCAGCTCCTGTTTCCATGGTTACTAAATAGGGCAGGTTAGTATTAGGGCTGCCCAAAGAAAAATGGCTTCGAGGGCAATGCTTATGCGGGGACCTTCCTCTGGCCAGCTTTAACCCTCTTCCCAGATAGGGTGGGCAACATTTGACCTGAGGTCATGGGGGTTTCCTTCAAGGTGCACTGGCTGCCAGCCCTGGCTTTTTCACAGGTGTTTCCCTTAATGCAGAGGAGCGAGCCTCCAAGGGGGCCAGTGGGGGGCACTAGAGAGCAAGCACTTTCCCAGAGCTCTGCGCTGCCTGCTCCGCACCCCCTTCAGTACCTGGGGTCACATTAGAGACGCGGAACCCTGTCCCCAGAAGGGCATGCTGTTTAGGAAACCTTCGATCCAAATTTGACTGGTCCTAAATCACACATGCTACATCATGAGAGAGTGACCCCCTGGCCCAGGTCCGTGGCCTTTTCATGGGGCTGTGTGAGTAGCGGGTTTAATCCTAAGGCATTAAAAAAATCTCTTCTTTGTATATCCATGTGATCAAATACCAGGTTCTGCAATCACAGGCTGGAGTCCCTGGCCCTTTGTTCTCAGCTAAGAGACTCCATTCTGGTCCTCTGTTTCTATGTAACTGGAATAGAATAATCATTGTGGGGAGAGTGTGGGGGAATTGATCAGTGTGGATGGGAGACATTTCAAAGCATACCAAGTCAGTGAAGGGCACTTTGTGAATTCAGGCAATTATCGTCTTTCGTTGCAATAACAGCACTCTATTTTGGTCTCTCTCCTTGGCCATTTCGGGAGAAAATTGATTAAAACCTTTGAGTGCTGCTTCAGAAATTATTTTTGGTGTGGAACAACAGCAACAAAAAACTGCTTAGGGAAGAGTTACCTAATAAGATTAGCCCATTCTTTAAACCTGATGGAACCAATTCTTTGGGCATTTCAGAAACATTTCTTAGAGTAAACAGAAAAAGTCCCAGGTGACGAGAGCTGTCATTCTACAGTGACCTGAGCGTCTTTTGTTTTATTTTTGCCCTAGCCCCGGAGCACATGACTGCATAATTCTATGTAATTTACATGTCTGAGTTATTTGCGTATTTTCTGTCAGGAATGCCCTTCATTCATGCTGTCTGCGGGTAGGGTATTGGAATTCAGAGGCTTTGGCTGACTAATCTCACTGAATTTCTGTGCAGGATTTAAGGAGCTGCCTCCGTTCATTTTCCCAGGTCAGGGATGGTGCTTTTTTAGCCTCTCGGGGAGTTTCTTAGCCCTATAGAGCTTGTTATTTCCTGCCAAAGGGGTATAGTCAGTGAAAACTGGGCCCCTTACCTGGTGGCTATTGGCCTGATTGATGAGTCATCCCCACAAAATTGCTGGGGCCCTGGGCCCTGGCTGCTCCTGTGGACTTACCCTTTGAACCCCATCTAATAAAAATGAGGGCAAACAGAAATGCGTCCTTGTGGACACAGTACATGGACCTTGGAGGACAGTATTGACCCACCAACTGGACTATCTCCAAGGGCCCCTCCAGCTCAAAAACCCCAGGAGTGCTACCAGCCTTGGTGCTGGCTTCCATGTTCTCAGGTGGACTTCCCAGGACCCAGGAGTTCCCAGGACTGCACATCTGACCTCTAGAATCATGGAGGGGCAGGAGAGAGGGAGGAAGCCAGTTGAGGGAGCAGAAACGAAGCCAGCCCCTCTCGTTGTTCCCCTGGTGACAGACCCCCTGTAGCTCCATCCCCAGCCACGTTCGATGTGTTTATTAGGCTGAGCCTCTGTCCCTTCGGGCAAATACAAGATCTGTCGCTCTCCATAGCCCTCATTCACGCACAGAAGCTGCTCACCAGGCATTGAACAAGCAAGTGGCTATTTTTACAGGCCAACTTGACCTAGTCCAAAGGCCGAGGCCTCCTGAGGATTTGACATTAATCTCGCTGGATATTTCTCATACTTCCCTCATGCCTCATCTGGTGGTGTTCCTTTCTGGGCTGAATAGGTTCTGTTTCTTCCTTGTTACAAGTTTCTGCCTGTGCGCAGTTTTAGAAAGCTTCAGGACACATTCCATTTTTTGAGGGGCCAAAGCCACAGAAAGTTACTATTTGGAACGGTAGGAGAGGAAGAGCTACAGGCAGAAACCTGGGTTTGACAAAGAACAGGATCCTTGAGCATTCGCTGCAACTGGAATGAAAGAAGAAAAGCAATTGCTTCTTCCGAAGGCGTAAGGAGGCTCTTGGTAGGGTAAAGGCCTCTTAGCACAGGAGAACCCCTTGCCTGCGTTAGACGTGAGGTTTGTGAGCTGGATCTGGGTTAGGCAGAATGGGCAATTAAAGTGAAGACGGGTAATTAAAGTGAAGTATTTAAAGTGAAGGAGGGGAGTGAGACAAACAGTCGGGTCAGAAGAGGGTAACAGCCTGTCCCCATCCTCCCAACAGACTGCACAGCCAGGTGGGCAGGGCACGGGGCACTCAGGATGTTTGCTGACAGACCTGCTAATTAAACACCAAAAGGCAATATTGCTTTGCCAATAGTGATGGCTGTGCCAATGTTATCAGCTGCAAACTGGCTGCCAGGAGCATCCTAATTAAAAATAAACAGTTCTGGGGGTGGGCTGGGAGAGGAGGGGCAGGGATCCTGCCCAGGGTTTCTTAGGACTTCTAGGATGGCTCCTAGGGAAAAGTCATACCCTCGTCACCTTTAGGTCCTTTTTTCAAAGAAACCTCTTTCTCATCACAAGGTGGTGTGATGTGTACTTCCTTAACCCCCCGCTGCTGGGGTGACAGGCAAACAGACAAAGCCTCCAGGAGCAGATGCCTGGTGCCTTCAGCCCTCGGGAGGACAGGCTGCCTGAGGGGATACTGATTGCTGCCGGGTCTGTAAATCGAGGGGACAGCTAAAGCCCAAAGCTGCTTCTAAGAGAGGTTAGAATTTCATCAGAAAGCAAGTCTGGTCACATGAGAATTTCTGGCACTGTGTGCATGGCAGGCTGGACACCAGCCTGCCGGAACTGAGCGAGTGGATCGTACTGGCCTCAGCAGAGGAGAGAAGTCCCAGCCTGGCCTGGGGGAAGGAGCCGCCGGACTGCGGGCGGGAGAGGGCAGCTGCTGCCTCGGATGGGGCGCTAACGCCCAAGCCCCTTTCTTCTAACCCTAAAGAAAGTGTGTGGTCCAAGGACTGAAGACCGAAAGATGCCTAAGGAATGCAATGCCTTCCACGCCCTCTCGGCAGCTCTCTGCTGCTTCTATCACCGCAAGTCTTTCCTGGGAGTCAAGGTAGGTGTGGCTGTGAGGTACACCT